GTGTGTGTGTGTGTGTGTGTGTGTGTGTGTGTGTGTGTGTGTGTGTGCCCTGTGATCGAAAGAGAATGAACACAATTAATGAGACAGGAGGAAGAGAGCAAGACTTGTCTCCTCCAGCTGTTTATCAGCCCAGAGCACTCTGCTCAGATTAAACTACAACTAATTTATAATTACTATAATGTATTCTTATTGGGCAAGTATGTCTTTCTTAATAAAGAGTCCGATAATTGACTCTCTCCTGCTCCAGTCCTCCTCTCTCCCTCTGAAACACTCACTATTGATCTCATTAATTTGCATTACATTCTCATTAGCCTCAAAGAGTATTTCGTTTTACACCAGCTGGATGATGGCTGTGCAATGGTGAAAGCAGCACTCTTACTCAACAATAGCAGACGGGTCCAATCATTCGGGTCATGCTGTGTATGAATGCCATTAGCATTGATTTGGAATAATTCAAACTGTATTGTTCTTTTTCATGTTTTTTTTTCCCATTTCACCTATAAAATTTTCTCCAAAAACAATGATTTCAGATGCAGGACACAACCCTTTAATCTGATTTGTCGGTGTGGAAATCAAAACCTCTGCCTGTTTTCAATTGCAATGCGTGTTTATGCTGTGAGAGTTCTGTGTCTTCATAAATGAGATTCCTCTCTCTGAGGGGAAAGCGGGATTCCACTCTAAAACGGCATTTTGAAGATGATGCTAAGTTGTGTAAACCTCAATATAAATCTTTTGCATGCGAATGACTTTTACTTAACTGTTGCGTGGATGACAAAAACAACGAATAGATCTCTGTGAATGTGAGCCTAATTGAGACCATCAATTCATGCCCTGCACTGTTGAAGCTGCACAGGGCAAGATTTATACCTCTGCATCTTTCTTATCGGTATCACAAAGCAGCAGAAGAGCTCCGCATCCGACGGAAATGGTTGTAATTTAAAAGCAGTGCACAATCTGTTCCCTCGTCCATAATGCTCCTTTAGAAAAAAAAGCTGTGTTAACCAACCAAAAAAATATATGATAAATAATAAACAAAGTCTAATCAGATTCCTGTGATTTTTTTGTTTCTGTACATTTGCCCACACGGCTGAACGGGATCCATAATGGTGAAACTGTTAGTGTTGAAAAGGAAATAAAATGTTCCTGTCTGTTCTCACCATGTGAGCTTGTACTGTATTAGAAAGCAGTTACCACTTTTAACATTAAAGCTAATATAGGGGGGGCTTCAGCAAATAATTTGGCATTATTGGCTTTAAAAAAAAAAAAAAAAATTATTTTTTTTGGTGATGTCATTAAATTAAACTATTGTGTCTCACATGGGCAAGTTATTTATAACTAACATGCTACATATGTGCGTGCGTTCTGGTTTGTATGTTTTCTCCCCCTTCAAATTACAATCCAATAGCCCATCATCATACTTAACGATATAAAGTTGACACTGTCAGGTCCATTCTCCATCCATTGTGTGCGGCCCCTTTAAGAATTAGGATTTGGGATTGACGCGGATATGAAAGCTAGTTTATCCGTCTTTCCTTTACAAGCAGGAAAATTATTTCTCTCTTTATTTGAGAAAAGTTCATATTTGTGTTGTCAAATTTCACTATGACCCTGAAATTCTGTCTCTTGTGTTATCATATACTGAATGCAAGCGAAACTACAGAGCAAAATCACACTCTTTATGATTGAACCAATCTATGAACTGTCTGAAACAATGGATATCCGCGGCCCCAAATGGGCCCCAAAAAAAATTGCCACACGCTCCGCGCGCAAACATGCCGCTCCCCTTGAGGCTAAGCCCCCCCTTTCTTTGAATCCTAGAAACGCCCCTGGACGGATGTTATTTACCGCTCTTTGAAACAGAGATAAAGTCATTCAAACAGAAACTGATTTGAACCCCTAGAGGTGGTTGCATAATTATAACCCGAACCTTTAGTACTACTTGGCACGGCTGGATGTTTTTTTGGCTGTCCTGTGAATTGGTTAAATTCACTCCAGTTAGTAGGAATTAAAGGCTTTGTTCACTCCAGAATAAGAACTGAAATAAAGCACTACAAGCATGCCATTGTGTTCATTCGTTGCTATCCACCTTCTACAGCAGGGTGTGAGCCCACAGAAAAGAGCAGTGGTAGTTAGTGATCACTAGGTGGTGCGGTAGAGGTTTGTGAAGTAGCCTGATTAAGAGTTCATGACTGAATAACATGAAGATAATGCAGAGTGCATGTACTATATATAGGAAAAAGTGTGCCCAGTACCTTTATTATTGGTGACCCATGTGCCACATAAGACCTGCAACATGACCTGTAACATACTTTCATGTTATTGGAAACTGAAGTTAC